CAACCGATGTGCTGTAAGAATTTTTAAAACATACAATACCTAACTACTTATGGCCTCTTTTGCCCTAGATCCGTGGTCAGCAAACTGTGGCTCGAGAGCTACATGTAAGTGGCGTTAAAAGACGTTTAAGTTTAAAAAATTTGGCTCTCAAAAGAAATGTCAATCCTTGTACTGTTGATATTTGGCCCTGTTGACTAATGAGTTTGCCGACCACTGCCTTAGATTGTCAAATAAAATAGATGGCACCAGTCAACGCAACATTAACCATTAGTGTGAACGCCCTATCTTGGATCATAAATAGAGTTGCATCTTATTGGTCATGCTGCATAAGAAGTTTGCATCTCATTAGTTAATTCTTAGTACCAGAAATCCTTATGTACATCTATAGGCATCTGATTTTTTTTTAAGTTACTTTGGAGCCCAAAGTAATTAATATCATTTTTATTGTTGTTACTATTATCATTTGTAAATCAATCCAATTACACCTTTTAGGCAAGGTTGGCAAAAAATGCGTGTTTGTTTTCTGTTTGGTTTTGTTTTTTGTTTTTTATGTTGTTGTCGCTGTTTTAATATATTTTATTGATTTTTCACAGAGAGGAAGGGAGAGAGATAGAGAGCTAGAAATATCGATGAGAGAGAAACATTGACCAGCTGCCTCTTGCACATGCCCTACAGGGGATGTGCCCGCAACCAATGTACATGCTCTTGACCGGAATCGAATCTGGGAACTTTCAGTCCGCAGACCGACGCTCTACCACTGAACCAAACCGGTTTCGGTGGTTTTTGGGTGTGTTTTTTTATGTGCCATGAAATTTTAGTATTAGTTTATGTGTGCCATGAGATGAAAAAGTTAGAAAATCACTGCTTTAGAAGGAAGAAAGCTTTTGCCCCTTTCTGGCTTAGCTGGCCCTGGCTTGATGAGGATTATTTGTTATCAGTGAAAATAACCACCAGTTGTGGCTTTCCCCCAAAATATTTTGTTCATTACTTTTATGCTCCAGATCCCCACAGACAAACCTGATCTCTCTCTTCCTTCCAACTCCCCTTCATGCCTGATTCCTGAATAACTCACTCACCCCATCATCCATTCATCAAGTATTTTGAAATGTCTGTCTTCTCCAACTAGAAAGACTTGTTAAAATTTAAAACACAGAAATATGGTTCCCTACTGATGTAAAATTACATAAAATATCACCCACTCATCTAAAGTATAAATTCAGTGTTTTTCAAAAAACCTATGGAACGGTGCAGTTAGCACCATAATCTGTCATTTTAGAGTATTTTCATTACCGCCCCCCAAAGAAACATTGTGCCCAGTAGTCGTCAATCCATGTCCCCAAGCCAACCTCATTTGATTTCCTACCAATTAGACACTTTTGTCTTATTTCTGTGAAAATAAAGGCAATACAAACCTGCAGACCAGAGGCAGGCCTGCCTTTCTTCTAGGAGCAGACATTGCTCGCCTTCCTGACAGCCCCAGGTTCACTGTTGTGGATGCTGTTTCAGACTTTCCAAGAAGCCTGTAGCTTCCCCTGTTGGCTGATAAATATGTGAAAAACACATCTTGGGGAAGGTACACAGATGGGAGGGGAGTCACTGCTCTGTCAGTTGCACATGCGCTTTGTTAAAATGTGTGTCTCTCATAAAAAAAAAAAATTACCCTAAGAATGATCAGGGGAGGAAGCTGGCTTCTTCCCTGGGCCCAGTTACACCACAGTGGGCTGTGAACCCCGGCAATTAGGACCTGAAATGACTCAAGTGTCCTCAGGGGAACAGAGGGCAGAGGGCTCCTGGAAGAGCAGCAGGCAGACAGCAGGGTGGGAGTGACAGCCCTTCACCCACTCAGAGCATCACTATAACGAGTACTTCTCATTCCCACTGTGGCCTCTCACTGAGGATGCTCCCAGAGAGGTGATAGCCTTTGCCCTCTTTTGAGAAGACAGTTACTTCTCACTTGGAAAGAGCCTCTGCGACATAGGACCTTATAGACCAGAATAGCCTGAAAACGAAGGCATCGTATTGGTGTGTTAGATGTCCACTGGTGTGACCACATCGACCCAAAGTCAACATGAATCAGGGAGCTGTGCTCCCTTTTATTCTGCTTTTATGACCCCACCAACTAGTGCACTCACACATCATCTCCATCTCCCCCTTGTTCATCCCCAGGCACTCACTGAACCCAGTCGTCTGCTCCAGATGCTAAAGCATCTCAGTGTACTCCCATTGTGCTGTGGCTGAGCAGAAAAACGAATATCAATAAAAAGTCATAGTGAGATTCAGCAAAGGATCGGGGGGTGGGGGTGGGGGTTGACAATAAATTTTCTCTTTAGAATCAGTGGGCCCTTGCAGGCCTCACTCCAAGAGATTCAGATGCAGCCGAAACCGGTTTGGCTTAGTGGATAGAGAATCAGCCTGCGGACTGAAGGGTCCCAGGTTCGATTCCGGTCACGGGCATGTACCTTGGTTGCGGGCACATCCCCAGTAGGGGGTGTGCAAGTGGCAGCTGGTGGATGATTCTCTCTCATTCAATGTTTCTAACTCTCTATCCCTCTCTTTTCCTCTCTCTAAAAAAAAGCAATAAAATATATATTTTTAAAGAGATTCAGATGCAGTAAATGGGGGATGGAGTGGGACATAGAATCTAATTTTTGAGTTTCCCTTGAAGTTCTGATGGGGAGCTGGAAAAGAGAAGTTATTGATTCTCTCCCTTAAAGTTCCTGGTAACAGTCTTCTCTCCACAACCTTGAGCAGTTGCTCATCTTTGTGTCTGAGAGAGAGGAACATGTCACCATTCACAGAGAAGACCCCAGTCAATGGCTTCCAATAAATGCCAAAGGCATCTACTCTCTGCCACCATCATATACTTTCCTTACACACTCAGCAGTACCCTCCTTAGCAAACACTCTAAGTCTATAAGAAAACTGAAGTTTAAAGTATAAACAATATCTCTCTTCCACAGCAATTTTTGTCAACTGAGCATTAAGGAAGTTCCCATTCTTTGCTTTAGGCTAGGAGATAGGTGGGCTTAGGAACGAAAAGGCAGGCCCTTCCCAGGAAGGAACTGTGTCAACTTGTCCATTGGGGAAATGCAGACATATGAGCAAAGGATGATCATAGAGGGCAAAGAACAATGGAGGTGGAGGACACAGGTTCTGTTGGGACACTGTACATGGTCACTTACCCTGGCTAACACCTGCGCTAACAGATGACCTACATTTGAAAAGTCAGTGAGCGAAGTTATGAAGTGGGGCACACTCCAGAAAGAAGTCACAGAAAGGCAGGCCATTTGTGCAATGGGAGCATAGATTTGCCTTCATAGGAGTGTAGATAGGTGAGAGTGGAGGGGATGAGGGTGGCTTGTAAAGAGCCCTGCTATTGGCAGTGGGCTTCTATTTTTGAGGCCATTTATCTCCTGGGGCCTCTTCTTGGCTTTCTCCAAGGCCTACCACGTCCTCCCATCCACCACTTCTGTGTAAAATAAAAGCTAGAGGTTCCCGAGATCCTCAGCCAACCTCGGGAGGAGAGCTTTTCCTAACGCCACCTACTCCGCCAACATTGGGGGTGAGCTTCTTAAGGGATTTTACTCTAGGCATCGATTTCCTGTCAATCGGCATATGTCATGAAAACAGCCCAGTCCATAAATCTCTTGTCTTTAGGGACATTGTAGACTGGAGAAATGGAATGCGAGTCTGACCTCCTAATTGCCATTTGACAATAATAATAATAAAACCTGCAGGAGACAAATTGGCGCAATAAGCTGAGCTGCGGAAGGCTTTGTCTTCTCATTCCTTTTTCTTTGTCTTTATACTCAAATGGGTGATTCATTTATGAGAAACACCATTCAAAGGAAAGATGGATATTTCCCAGGTGGGACTTATTTTGTGTGAAGATTTAAACACATAATAAAAGATAAAATTACAGTATGAAATCTTAGGTATGTGAGTTATTAAATTTGCAATCATTTTGTATACAATAGCTATTACAGAAATAACCTTCTTTGTCAAGTTTAAGGGGGGGGGGGGGGAAACCCCACAACCATTATAAGCATAAAAAAAGTTAAATAAGAAAGTGCTGCTTCATAGCCTGAATCTAATCTGCATCAACAACATATTAATTGTTCAAGAACTCTAAACTCTTTAATGAGGTTCCTACTGTATAATTTTAATCATATGCAAATAAATCATTGAAATTCCTTCTTATCAGAAAAACAATGGTTCTTCAGTGAGTTTTTATATCCCCAAAGTGATTACATTACCTGAGTTAAGCGAAACCCCAACACAGATTTCAGGTTTTCTTTGTAAATGTTATTTTGCTTTAAGAATAAGTCTGGCCGAAACCGGTTTGGCTTAGCAGTAGAGCGTTGGTCTGCGGACTGAAAGGTCCCAGGTTTGATTCCGGTCAAGGGCATGTACCTTGGTTGCGGGCACATCCCCTGTAGGGGGTGTGCAAGAGGCAGCTGGTCGATGTTTCTCTCTCATCGATGTTTCTAGCTCTCTATCTCTCTCCCTTCCTCTCTGTAAGAAAATCAATAAAATATATTTAAAAAAAATAAAAAATAAGTCTGCCCTGGCTGGTGTTACTCACTCAATGGTTAGCATCAGCACTCACACTGAAGGATCATGGGCTCGATTCCTGGTCAAGGGCAGGTACCTGGGTTGCAGGTTCAATCCTCAGCCCCTAGTCAGGGTGTATGAGGGAGGCAACCCATCCATGTATGTCTCTCCTCCTTCCTCCATTCTTTCTACTATCTCTAAAAATCAATGGCAAAAATAGCCTCTGGTGAGGATTAACCTAAAAATAATAGAATAATCCTGAAGATTCCTAAATTCCTTATTCAGAAATAAAACAAGGAAGAATTCTGAGACTATCTTATTGCCACTGGGACTAGAAAGTTACAGTTCCTCATCACTTTTGCTTTTTTTTTCTTTCCTAACTGGACTTGTTTTCCCACACTCTATGCCCCAGATATTTACAAGTCAAATATTCTCATTTCTACACAGGTCTGATTACAACAACTTCAAGGAAACTGGATCGAGAACAACAGGCAGAACATTTTCTGGAGGTAAGCGCATAGAGGCAACTGGCATTCTTTAAAACTGACTTTCACTAAACTTCTTTATCCTTCCACATGAACTATAACTTTACTCTCTTTGATCACTGGCCCACACAGTGAAGGTGTTTATCTGGGTCTGAGTGGTTGTGAATTTGGAGATTTCTTGGGCATAGCTCTGTAGGACATCTGGGTGCACTTCAAGGGTGGCAGAGCAGCCTTTGCATTCTGCTGAAAACAAGCAGATGCATGGAGGTCTCTTCCTTGACTTCAGGCTCCTTGGGCAGCTATGGGAAAAGAAAGTTCAGGAACAGAGCCCCTGAGCCTCAGCTGCAGCGTGAGAAGGAGCAGAGTGCTGACCTCAGAGTGAGGGGCTTCATTTGTGAAGTGCCTGGCTTTGTTCCCCTTTTTCTTTTTTTCCTCTTTTCTGGGAGAGGTTTGAGGAAAGGAAGGCTGCGGAGCTGATTCACTGCCCGAGATGACTTTTCTGAAACTATAAAATGCACTCCTAATAATTCATTAAGACAGAAACAGCAGAATTATAAACTATAAGAACATTATTTCTGGATAGGAAAAAGAAACACCCGAAGGCAAAAGATAGAAAAATAGGCATGAAAGAGCTTTGTGGAACAGTCTTTTCTGCACATATCTCAACTATGTTTATGGGGAAGCCTGAAGTCTGAGTAGGATGGGTGACATTGTGATTTAAGTATGATTATCTGGTATGGAACAGATGACAATGCTTGTAAGTTAGGGATTTGTGGAGGTGTTGCAATATGTCTGTGCTTTTAAGATGACCTGTTAGGCTTTAAGAAACACTGGAATTCACAGGTCCTCTTCTTATACACACATGCACTTGCATGCGAGTGCGCTCGCGCGCACACACGCACGCGCACACACACACACACACACACACACACACGCCCCTCAAATTCCTGCTGCTCTTCTTTAAATCAGTTTACCTGCAATGACATATAAAGAACAGTGGACTAGGAATCAGTGCTCTGTGTCCCAGAACTTCACTGCCACGATTGGTGTGAAGTCTCAGAAGCTGTTTCATTGCCCTGGACCTCAGTGTCCCTTACTGTAAAATGGGACAAATAATTACTACTCCATATACCTCAAAGCATTGCTATTAGGATCAAATCATACATTTTCATATCACAGTATGTTTAAAACTCTTAAAGCATAATGTACATAATAGAGGATCATTATGATGATGATGAAGCACCCTGATAACATTGTTTTAAAACATTGCTATAATCTTATAAAGATGAAAGACTCCAGGCTGCCAAAAAGTAATAATTCTAATTTTTTTTTTCAAAATTACACTAATGGGCTGTGGTATATATCTGGTCCAGAATTAGAGAATGTTTGCCAGAACAGTAACACTTTATATTATCTTGTGCTCCTTGCCTTGGCAGCAGAGTCCAAAAATTCCTGGGGAGACTGTGTTCTCAAATAGTGGGACTCATCACCTCCCTGCAGGGAAATGAGGGGGTCTCCTTAGCTGGGGAATCTGCCTGAGATCACTTCCTGGCTTGTCCCTGAAAAGGTGGTGTATTCAGGGTGTGTGCGGTGCAGAGTGTGACTGTAGACAAAAACACAAGAGTGTTTTTCCAGGCACGTGAATATATATCCTTTACAGACTTTCCTCAATACTGACCAAACATTCTGTTCTTTAGACAGACAATGATGCATCTGGTCCCTCATGTCTTAGTGTCTGGTATCATCTGCCTAAGGAGGTAGTGTAGTAGAGCAGTTAACAACCTCAGAGGGCTGTTGGGAGAATCAAATATGAAATATGTGTAACAATGCTAAGAGAGAATCATTGATTGCTGCCTCCAGCAGGCCTTCTACTTGGGATCAAGCCTGCAACCCAAGTATATGCCCTGACCAGAAATCTAACCAGTGCATGGGATGATGCTCAATCAACTGAGCCACACTGGCAGGGCCTTTTACTTTTTCTGAATGGATCATGGAAAGAATATTAGTTTAACTCAGCCCTGCAAAATAAATACATACATACATAAATAATATATATCTCCTATATAGTAAAAGCCTAATATGCTAAGTGCCTGGTCATCCAGTCAGCCATTCAGCCAATCAAAGCATAATATGCTAATGATATGCTAAGGCTGCTCAACCACTCGCTATGACATGCACTGACCAACAGGGGGCAGACGCTCCAACCAGTAGGTTAGCTTGCTGCTGAGGTCCAGCTAATCGGGACTGAGCAAGATGGGCAGGACACTCCCTGGAGCCTTCCCATAGTTCCTCCCAAGCTAGCCAACCTCCCACGTCCCTCCCCAGCCCCGATTGCCCCATTATGTACCAGTGAGGTACCTCAGCCCTGCCTCCTCTCACAATTTGGGCTGAGGTATCCTTCCCCTGAGTGCACGAATTTCATGTACCAGGCCTCTAATGTGTGTGTGTGTGTGTGTGTGTGTGTGTGTGTGTGTGTGTGTGATCCAGATTAGTGCTCTGCACTGTACACATGTTTTTATATCTGCTGATACATGTGTCATTTGTAAGTGCTATGTGGGGATGATTAACCTCCTGGAGAGCCTTTAATTGCTAAGATAACCCTATGCTCCTTTTAAACTCCTATTAACCTCTGGCTCTATTTTATATTTCTCTGTCCCAATAAAATTAAATTTCTCTTCTTGAAAGGGCCCATTTAGAAGCTGACCTGGAAGGTGCTCTTATGAATAAGTAACCAGGAGGACATTAATGATTTGTTTGTAGTTTGCAATCCTCATGATAGCAGGCACTTTGTACGCTGCTGGGTGTCTGCCTGTACATTGATTTAAGATATTTAGCTTGACCATAAGGGTTTTTGAGTCTGCAAGCATTCACATTTAAATCTCTGGGTATAGGAGGAAAGTTATTAACAAAATCCAAGGGACTTGCAAAAAAAAGCAATAGCAAAGAACTATAGAAAAATTCACAAGTATAGCTTACACTTCTTAGGTGAATTCTGAGCTTTAAACTCTTGCCTAATTTGGAAGTCTGTTATGTGAAAATATTGGTCTGATCTTCTCTCCCTCCCATAAAATGCAAACATGTGGAATTTTCAGCTCACTTATTCAAAGTCATATACATAACTTTATAGCCAATTATGACAATAGTGGAGATAGAAGCGTAATTCCAGCAAATAGATGCAGGAAGTTGATAATGGATGCATAAACTAAATAGTGAGTTAACATTTTAGCTTAGTGGTTGTGACTTCAGCCCTGATTACCTCATTATCAGAGATGGCAGCTGTGAAATAAAGGCACTAATTTTTTCTTATAATCACTTGTACAGATTGTTTCCTCACCTCCTAAATTTAAACTCCTCGTGGGATTGAAACTTGATTTATCATGCTAGTAAATGGAAGTGGTGTGGGAAGGCCTGGGTGTTAAATCCAGGCAGGCCTGAGGTGCTGTTTTGGAACTGCTCACAGGCTTAGATAGGCCACTGGACCTCTCTGAGCCCCCTTTTCCTCACCTGTAACAATGCCTAGCATAGGGCTGATATAAAGAGTATATGAAATGACAGGTAGAAAGTGCTCAGGATGCTGCCTGTTCGACACTAAGTGTTCCATGAGTGGCGGTGGCTGTTGTCAGCACCAAATGTCTTTCTCATCGCTGTATTCAGAGCAGCCAGATCCATACCTGAAAAATGGGAGGTACTCAATAAATGTCCCGTGACTGAGAGATTAACCTAAAATTTTATTTTACCCCTAGATGTGATCGTGAGTGGGTATTAGCATACCGTAAAGTGCATGAGCTCGGAGACAGAAGGAGTGGAAGGCGCTGCCTCTTTCCATGTGCTTGGATATCCTCCATTTCCTCGTCTGTAAAATAGAGTTAATAATCCCGACCTCATGGATGAACTGCACAAAGGGCCTGGCCCACAGAGACACTACTAAGCCATCCCCTGTTCCTCCCTCTTTTTACCCCCTCCCTTTCCCCCTTGTCCTCAACAAACATCTTGTCAGCTCCCTTTCTTTTTTCAGTACTGACCCCAGTAGTATGAAGAGCTTATAGCAGTTGGACTATTCTTAAAAGATATGTCCACTTCAATAACTCTATACTGCTGGCTTAATTATGTGCGAGTCTTTATCTTGCTTGCTGAAAGAGTATTGGTTTGCCTCCCTTTTGATCTTGAGGTGTTTCTCTGTTCAGGGCTGGGTAGTTCTGATAAGAGAACAGAGAGATTATTTTATTTGCAAATCAAAAAGGATGACAAGACACAGTAACCCATATAAAGACAGGGGGTGAGAAATGATGTTGTATGTGTGTATAACCTGAAGTAGCCAAGAGAACGTGATGTTTTATAGCGCAGTTGGTATAGTTGCGAAACACATTACAGAGGAGTACACTAGATCTATCGAGATGCAGGTTATCTAGTCTCTGTCCCTTTAGCATACTCATCCATAACCATCGTCCTGGGTCAGGTGCACCTCATGTGACAGTTTTCTCTTCCTGTCTGAAATTCTCATCCCTTCTTTACTTCTGAGTGGGAAAAAAAAAAATACTGCCCTTTGCTAAGTTTTTATAACATTTCCTCCTTGGCTTAGGATGCAAATTGATTTCTTCAGTGAGTGCACTCCTTAGCGGTAACTTACTCTGATAAGCATCTGCTTTGGAAATGATGGTAATTTCTGGTACTGAAGAACCACAGGCCTATTTCAACCCATTAAGAAGTCCATATTTTGATCATTTAACTGAGATAAATGGAAGTTTCTCTAAGTAGGTTCCTCTTTATGACACCCTCAAAAACTGTAAGAAGTACCAGTGGGCCCTCAAAAAAAGATGGATATATGGGCACATAAACAGCACCTGTCACAGGCTCGTGGCTCAGAAGGAGAGCTGGGCATCCCGTCTGATTTCCAGAGCTTCCAAGAGAGTGTGGCACCCTCTCTTCCAGATCTCTACCTCGAGGCCCACACCTTTCCAAGCCTTAGTTGTTCATAGTCATGTTGTATCAACTTGAATTTAGTTCATGGAAACTCACTTTGTTCC